TCCAATGCGAATATTTACGCTGGTACATACTGACGCCAGGAACTATCCATATGTTGTGCACAAAAGTCCAACGCTAACTGACGCTTTCACATTCTCCTGTCTACTCGCCTTTCATATGATGCCTTAAGCTTTAAGCAGTGCAGTAGGAGACATGTACTGCAGCTGCTGGCACCATTCAGCACATCAGTATCGGTACAACCAGTACAAGTTGTTCAAACTCGCTCCACTGATAGTGGTCTCGCAGCTCATACAGACTCGCTCTCCCGCGACACTTAAGTATATGCTGCTGGAGAGGGGTATGAACTCTTGTTCAAACTCGTTCTGCTGATGCTAGTAGCATTAAACTTGGCCTCTCTCTATACATCCCCTATGTGCTGGATATTGCAGCAGCCACGCATGTGAAAAGGGCTTGTGTCCTTTGCAGTAGAGTAGATCCAGTGTTATTAACTTGAGTTTATGGCTATTGTTTAACCTCGGAGATTATCATAATGTTACCTGCACAACATAGGCTATAAATGTGTTGGTGACCTGCAGCTCATTCATTTATACCAGACAATAAACCATTCTGCGATGTTGTAAAGGATCAGCTAAATAAAGCCGATATTAAGTGATTGGTAAATGATCTTTCCGAAGACTTAACCTCATCTAACTCACTTTTCTTTGTTGATGCAGTTTGACATTCACTCAGCTGCTGTAGTTGTTGTCAGAGGATGTACTCATACAAGTCTGAGTACAATGAGAGGCGGCAGTACGGTGACAGAAGTTCAAGGCAATGGGATGACCGTGATGACAGATGGGAAGAAAGGCGTGAATCTCACAGAGATGGCCCACAGGATTCCTATCATAAATATGGTGGGGATGGACACAGCAGCACGAAGAGAACAAGCAGAAGTAGAGAGTACAGTGACTCACCTAAAAGGGTGTACAATAAAGATTTACTGAGTAGGGACAGGAGCAGAAAGAGCACAGTGGGAAGACGTGTGTCTTCACCTGATTGGGGTGCCTCTGAAAAGAAAATGCGAAGGCTTGCAGAGGATGATGAAAATGGTTACAGGTACAGGAATGAGTGTGAGAATAAGACGTACATGCAACCACCAGACAGTTTTTCACATTCATACACACCCAAGGATTTGAAAGATACACCCCAGGATGAGGATTTCAGATACAGGAAAACACCTCAAGACTTCAGACACAGGCATCGGCATGAGGAGTTTACATACAGGCAGCAATGTGATGATTTCAGACACATGTCTGGATGTCACAAAGATAGAGATCATGATGAAAGGAGCTGGGACCATTCACAGGAGAGGTCACAATCACAAGATCGCTCAACAAAGGTAAGTCACAATAGAAACTGTGGTCCTGATTGTTGCAATTGTGATGTAGTTTTGGCTTTAAAAATCCATATATAGGTTATATTGATGTGGCTATCGTATTGTTATTAATTAAACATTCCTCTGTATTGAACAGAGTTATTCCAAGGCCAGAGAGAGGAATGAAAGCCCTTCCACAGATCACAAAGATCTACATCAGAATAGAGTAAGATTGCCATTGAATGACATTAATGGACAGGTGGAGTTATTTTACAGGTGGCAGTTTTCACATTGTAAATGTGGTGATCAAAATGCATCATTTACTAAAAACATTTTTCTTGTTAATAAATTCTGATTTTTCCACAGAAGGCACCTCTGTGTAATGCAACATGCACTACTAGTGAAAGGACTGGACACACGTTCCCATTCAGTTCAATGGGAGTGTGTCTAGACTTTTAACTGGTAGTGTATATTGATGTTAAACCTAGGTCCCATAAGTGTTTTTTCTTCAGAAGTGTTGCTGTTGGTTGAATGGGAAATGGTGGTGGAAATAAATTCTGACAAAACCAAAAAGATGCATGCTAATGAACTTTGCACTCAATTGTCACAGCTACAGTCATGGCCAAAAATATTGGCACCCCTGCATTTCTGTCAGGTAATACACCACTTCTCCCAGAAAACTGTTGTAATCTTTGGTATTTTCATGTTTCTTTCTTTTGTTTGCACTGGAATAACACAAAAAGCAGAAAAAAGCCAAATCTGATACATTGCACACAGTTCTCCAAAAATGCACTGGACAGAATTAGACACCTTTTCAAAATCATTAGAATCATTAGTTGTATCTCCTTTAATTTGTAATGAAACTCACCTGTAGCAACCAACAGGTGCTGGCAACATAGAAATCACACTGGCAACCAGTTAAAATGGAGAAAAGTTGACTCGATCTTTGCGTTTTGTGTCAAAAAGAAAGAAAAGCAAAGAATTGTCTGAGGATTTGAGAACCACAATAGTGGAAAAACATGGACAATCTCAAGGCTCCAAGTCCATCTCCAGAGATCTGGCTGTTCCTGTTCCTGTGTCCACTGTGCACCACATTGTCAGGACGTTTACAGCCCATGGTGCTGTAGCCAATCTCCCTGGACGGGGGTAGATGACAAATTGCAATGAAGGATTGTTCAAATGGTGTTTAAAGAACCTCAATCACATTCCAAAGAAATTCAGACTGACCTGCAGGCACAGGCTGCAACAGTGTCAGCTTGCACTATCTGTCACTATCTGAATGACAAGGGATGCTGTGGTAGGAGACCCAGGGAGACCCACCACTGACACAGGAACATAAAACAGCCAGATTGGAGTTTGCCTGAACTTACCTGAGGAAGTCAAAGTCCCTCTGGGAGAATGTCCTGTGGACAGATGAGACTATAATAGAGCTTTTTGGTCGAGCACATCATTCTACTGTTTTCAGAAAACAAAATGAGGCCTTCAAAGAAAAGAACATGGTCCTTACAGTCAAACATGGTGAAGCTTCACTGATGTTTTGGGGTCGCATTGCTGCTTCAGGCACTGGGTGTCTTGACTGTGTGTATGGCATTATGAAATCTGAAGGCTACCAATGAATTCTGGGGCCCAACGTCAGAAAGCTGTGCTGTAGCCAATCTCCCTGGACGTGGATGAAAGAGAAAAATAGATGACGGGTTGCAAAGAAGGATTGTTCCAATGGTAGATAAAGAACCTCAATCAACTTCCAAACAAATTCAAGCTGACCTACAGGCACGGGGTGCAACAGTGTCAGCTCACACTGTCCGTTGTATCTGAATGACAAGGGATGCTGTGGTAGGAGACCCAGGGAGACCCACTGCTGACACAGGAACATAAAACAGCCAGATTGGAGTTTGCCAGAACTTACCTGAGAAAGCCAAAGTCCTTCTGGGAGACTGACTGTAGATACCCCTAGCAAAAAAATCCTCCCCTCGTGAAGGTGATATTTCGTTTTACCTGAATGCACAGTGAAATAAAATAGCTCATAGAATTTGAATTTGAGAAAAAGTTTTCTTTGGTTGTAAATTTCTTCAGAGATTGTTTAATATGCCACAGATATTCTTCAAACCAGATAAACTCCAGATAATCATTCCATAAACTATGGTTGCTTCTGTGTGTGTCTCATCAGTCTTTTAAGAATGATGTCACGAACCAAAGTACCACTGTTCCTGGGCAGAAGTTAACCACGGGTTTCCAGCGTTTCCTCGATGTGCTCAACAAGGGTGTGAATGTCACCACGCTCACCAAGATAGTCACTCAGACCTCTGCAGAGGCCAGTCCGGCATGTTCTCCAACTTTTGCAGCTCAAATGTGGGCTCCCACTTCTGTGAGGCAGCAAGGAAGCCACCAAGAGAACTACCAGTGGGGCAAGAGCGAGGGATCACAGAGACTGTCTCCTCCACAGTGTCATCCCAGGTCCTTCAGGTCAGAAGGATGCTCTTTGTCTGATGAAAAGTCTCTGCAGAGGAGTGATGGAGGACAAAGCTGCTTGAGGTTGCGCAGCAGATCCACATCTCCATCGGTGGTGGACAAGATAACCCTGACACCTGAAGAAGAGCACAGGCAAATGCAGGGTGTTTTGCAGGCCATTGGCATGGATTTGGGATTTGAGGAACTGGGCCAAATGTCACATCGAATCCAGGAGCGGTTATATGGAAAGAAGGTTAGTGACTTGGGCCATCGTCGTAGAGGAAGTGGAGAACAGGACAAGGAGGGAGTGTTTTCTCCAAGACATCGAAGCAGATCATCATCAAGCAGATCTAATATCAGCCCTTTGACTCAGGCCTATGATGTGAAAAAAGACTCGTATAGTGCTCAGATTGATGTACCAGAGATGTATCAAACTGCTGAATATTGTCAGAATAGGAGCAGTAGTTCTGTACAGGATGGCATGACATGTGAAACTAACTCCCTGGAAAGCACTGCTGAATTACAAGCATTTTCTCAAAATCCCACTTACTCCTTATTGGAACCACCTCCTACACCTGCAGTGCTGACGTACTCTCCATTCCAGCCATACCCAGCCCAGCCTCCAGTTTTACTTCCACCCTTATCCCATGTTGTACCCAGGTTTTTCCTGCCTCGCCGGCCTCCCTTGCTGCCTACCCCTCATATGCAACCTATGAACATCTTTCCAGCACTACTCTCTCAAACAAGGCACCTACTCCCACAATGCATTGGTAATCCTCAGTCACCCTTTTTTAACCTGCCAGGTATAAACCCAGTTCAGCCCGTGAGCACAACACAAAAATCCAAAACTGTATCAAGGCCACGATGTTTGCAGGTCATAGAAACCAAACAGGCTGGATGAAGACAGTTGCACAGGGTGGAAATCTGACTATAAACAGGACTGAGGCAAACTAATGTTTCAGTAGCTACACCAGGAGTCAAGCATATGAAGAGTTGGGCCTCCAGACAGTCCTGCTTTAATTACGGATTTGAACATCACATCATAGAAAATCAGAGTTGGACATTTGTAACCTGTCCAGCAACAACAAAAAATAAGGCCAACAAATGATTTAAACAACATTTTGATATACACAGTAGTTAAACAATTTTTTTTGGGGGGGGGGGGTGGCGCTGGCGCTCTGACTAGTCCATCCTTGTACCCATAGCAGAATGACACACTGAAGAGAAACAATGTGCAGCAAGTGTTTTTCATAGATTTCTAAAATCATTCTTAATTTTTATCTAAAATTAGTTTAAATACTGTAATGTGATGCATTTTATTTTTTGTTGAAATTTGAATTGTCTGCTGGTCTTTTTGTATAGCCTTTGTCATTATGAAATGCACTGTAGTTCATTGTTCAGTCTACAGTATGTTGGCCCAGTTATGACAACAAATGTGCTTTGCATGTCAGCTTGTCTGGTTGACATGTTTTCTTTGTGTACACATGCAGAAAACCATTGTATACGCATTGAGTTGCATAATATTAAACTGATTCTAAGTAAATGAAGTTATTAATTAGTTGTTAACTATTTTGAAAGAACTTTTATTTAGTCCGGAGAAGCAAAAAATGAATGGGACTGTCGTACAAAAGTCAAAACACCACAGTTTGTGTCCTCTTTGACAGGCTTCACAGTATGTTTTTCTCTTGAGCCTCTAGACAATGCAAAAGACAAAAGACAGTGGGCCTGGCTTCACTTCACCACATTATCTACGAGCTTTGCAGCTGAAGTGCCACGAGCAAGATGTGGTTGCTGGCATAAATGTAATTGGCATAAAAATAACACTTGCTTAAGAGTAACCACATCAAAACTGGAGTTTATGAATTTCATTTTAGCTCTCACACCTACAGACAAGCTCAGGGAGGTGAATGCAGAGCTGCAGAGAAATGTTAAAAAGTCCATCAACCTTTTTAAGAATTCAGTGCTTCAGTAGCTACACCACTCTTGGAATCTGAAGAAGTGACTGGCGGAGGTGTTTTCTTACTAGATGGACTATCACGTACTGTGAGACAGTATAGATAACCACTCTACTTACCTGCAAGATTTTAACTTAAAAAATAGTAACCACATTTGGTTGGTAGCGCAAATATATCGGGCTAAGCAGTGTATCATTGACTATTAAGCATGATTTCTCGTCACAATTATATCAAAACAGATGCTTGTCTTCCAGTTGCTTCAGTCCTATTCACCAACGCCGACGGAATTCTGCGTGTGTAAAGGCGTAGAACATGTTTAGGTACGTTATTAGATTTTTGTCAAGGAAACATGAGCATCGTAAAGCATGTATATGTGTTCTAGGCGTTCCTGCATTTTGTTGGTCCTCCGTCCAACAGGCGGCACTGCTAACAACAGCGCGGAGCAGTGTTGGCCTCTTTAGTTCAAGCTGTGTGTTTTTTTCTTTTTACATCAACGGTTGTCCTTGTGTACTGCTTAAAGTTTTTCGGTCCCATTTTGGTATTCTAGTGTTCAGTAACTTCGTTTCAGGCTACCAGTAGCCTAACAATAGCATTTTCTCTCCCTGTGATGCGACAGAAGAGGAAGCTGTTTGAGCAGCGTTAGTAGGTAAACAGTCTGTTAGCCACTAAGCTAAGCTACCTAAACACAGGATTTAGTCAGCTTTACTGTCTGGTCGGTCCATAATTTGCAAACTAAGTATATTATGTTGTTAAACCTTGTTTGGGGGGGAGGGGGGTATTAAACACTAGGCTCTCTTCCTTAATAGAAGTCGACATGTAAGCTAAGTTTATGTCTAGGTTACTGAAAAATTCCTGTTACCAGTCTAACGTTAGAGGTGGAGGCAGTTGAAATTTTATTTCTATTACATCCGGAGGTAATGACTGTATAGTAACTACAGGTATATGCACAGGTCAGTGCTAATTAACCCACGTGAGTTTTTCCACAATGTTTGTGCTTCACACAGAACACTCAAATGTAAGAGGCTGAATCATGAATCCACTTGACTGGGGTGCCGCTATCCTGAGACTTCAGGGATCTCTGGATCCAAATCACCAGAGTGTTGTTGAAAACAGCATGGAAAATCCTCCAAGAACTAGTAATGATTTGACCGCTTACTATCAATACTCAAAATACACTGTTGATGGAACACACAGCAGCCAGGGAGTGAATGTGACATGGAAGGGCCTTAGTCCTCCCTCCTACAACCTTGACAGTAATCATTCAGAAGTCGACAACGCGGATGGAGAACCACTTGAAATGGATGAGGAGGACCCAGAGTTGGCAAGAAAGCGGAAAGAGCTGAGAGAAATAGAGGAGCAAATATTACGCAAGAAAGCTTCCCTTGCTTTGAAAAAATTTGTGAAGACAGTGCCACCAGACTGTAATGAGCAGTCAGATACATGCGAAGGTGAAACACTCCGACAAAGGGTGAATGTAATTTTGCAGCAACGGCACTCTCTTGGCTTTCTGCCAAAGGTGAGTAGTAGTTGTCCTAGACTGATCATATAATCAACCTGCTGTTTTAAAGCATTGCTTTGAGAATGTTATGCTTTTGGGTTTGAAAGGCCAGCTGCTTTTCTGAAAATCCTCTACTAAATACTTGTATAACTTCATCTCTTTTTGCTCAGGTCCGGTCACCTAGAAACTCATCCAGCCTGAGTAAAGCTGGTTTGGTGCAGGAAGACCACCCCCTGAAACTCAGAGTGAAGGCACTAATGACCAAGAGATGTAGGGGTCTCTGTGAACTACCAACAAACATGGAGGTTTGTGTGTCTTTTTGAATAAACACTACGGTGCTGGAACCATCCCAGCTGACACTGGGCAACCCTGGAAAGGTTGTCAGTCTATCACAGGGCTGAAACTTGGAGACAGACAACCACACACACCCAAACTCACTCCTAGGGGCACTTGAGAGTCACCAGTCAACCTAAGCTGCATGTCTTTGAACTGTGGGAGGAAGGTGGAGTACCCAGAGAGAACCCATGGGGGCGCAGGGAGAACATGCAAAAGATACTGGGTTGGCTAGGGCTCCAACTCCAAACCTTCTTGTTGGGAGACGACAGTACTAACCACTGCGTCAGCATGCTGCCGACACTACCATAGTGTATAATGAAATGACTCTTATTTTCTAGTGCCAGACAATACCGCATAGTTGTATTGTAGTTAAACTGCATTTATTTCATCTATGGTGCTCTTGTAGATTGTAATTGTCCCGATTACAAATTCACATTTTAAAACTATTATTTTATTATGCTTTGATTACTGTTTATTAGACTTGTTAGTCTGAAACCTTTCCCGGCATACAATGGCTGAGAGATGATGTTCATCTTGGCTCTAGCAGGGATCCAAAATTTATGTTTTTTTTTTACTCACCGGCCAAGGTAGTGGGTCAATGAATAAAATCTACCAGCCTAGCTTATTTTTGCCTGGCCAAAATAATAGATTGCCTCTTTGTGTCACAAACACGTTTGCTTCAGAATTTCATTGAGTCAGTAAGGTATATTATCCTGCATACAAATGTAAAGAGGCCAGAGCAAAGTTATTTTAACAGGCTATATAATCAGCAGTTAAAAAAATGTATTAAATCTATTTTTGAGTTAAAATTTAAAAGCCACAGTACAGCTCAAGAAGACTTGATTGCAAAATTCAGGGACAAACAAAACTGACATAAACCCATTAGAAGCTTAAAGCTCCTCCTGAGACTCCTCACTCTCCACCACAGTCACCCACTTCTTTGCACAGTATATGAAGTCTGGTCTCCTGTCTCTTTCAGACTGTGGCATATGCACACAACTGTGTTCTGCCCTCAAAAGAATGAAAACAAGATTGATTGAGCTGGATTGCAGTACAGTTCTCAGAAACTATCACAGTTTTACAGTATTATACAATTACTATTATCAGCTACAACAACCCTCAAAAGAATGAAAACAAGGATCCTTTTTTTATTGCAAGTAACTGTGCCAGTTGATTGAGCTGGATTGCAGTGTTAGAGTGACCCTATAAAGAATAAACAGACTTATAAATATGATTTTTTTTAAAGCATATAACTATAACATGTTGTATAACTAAATCATGTTAGTTTGCATGTTAGCACCAGTAGCAGAGGTAGTATTCACATCCTTTGCTTGAGTAAAAGCAGTATACTGCTGCAACCCTAGTTCCGTGGGAACCGTCGCTACTCTGCCTCTAAATGGCAGTGGTTACAGTCAGATAATTGGTTAAACAGACTTGGACATTAAGTGTCACACTGTGTCTATACCAAAAGCCTTTCAGCCATGTTATTCAGATGTATGTTAACCGATACACTCCTATTTTAATCACTTCATCTGAATACACTGTTCATTTTTTAGCTTTCACACCACTTGTGTGTGTAACCGTGACCTAAAGCGTATTTTTACACTTGGCTCAGAAGCAGAGTAGGGGTGGGCCTTCACAGAATAGGCTGCAGGTGTATATGCATCTCAGTCTCCAAAACGGAGAGAAGCAGGGCGCCCACTCTCAGGATACTGTTTTATTACATGACCTTTCTGTAAATCCAAGAAGTAATGTGTTTTTGATTTAACAGTGCTACAGTGAGGTACTTTGATCAACAGTTATATATATTACTCTCTTTGGCTATAAAAGCCTGCTGTGGTACCTTGTAGCTTCAGCGTAAACACACTTCCAAGTTTGTTATTTTCTTATCAGTAAGTTTGCCTTTTGGTACAGAGAAATATGAAAAAATGTGTTTAACCGTAGGAATTAATGTTTTAACAGTAGGTGATATGTCTCTCTCAGGTCTCTGGTGGCACAGCGCCTCCTCCCAGCCAAAACATTCCTTCACCAGTTAAGGAGAATAGCACCAGTGAGGGTTTCCAGCGCTTCCTCAGAGTGCTCAACAAGGGAGTGGACATTGACTTGCTCAGCAGGATTGTCAATGATGACAGTGAGGATCTTCCTTTGGGTGGGAAGCTACTGAACGTTCAGCCTCCTGCTGTGGACAACAATTGGAATCCGACCTTCAGGAGCCAGAGCCAGCGATCAAACAGTGAAGCCTCCCTGCAAGGTCATGGTCAGACCAATGGCGAAGAGAGGAAGACTGATGTGCCCAGTCCAGTGAGATCCCACACAGAAAGACCCTCCGTGCCTGATAATAAGAAAAATGACAGAGAAGGCGACTCCTTTAACTCCAGTAGTCGATCAAAGTCTCCCCCAACAGTGATAAAGAAGAAGGAGAAAGAAGACGGACTAAAATCAAAGGTGGATGAGCAACGTGAACAGCTGCAGAATGTTCTGAAAACTCTGGGCTTGAGCCTAGAAGAGGAAGAGATGAGCAAACTAACAGACCGGACTCAGGAGAGGCTGTATGGAAAGAAGCATGAGGGCGGACAGCAGGGTGACAGTAGAAGCGAGCAGGAGTGTTTTCAGAAGGACAGACGTAGCAGGAACTCCTCTTCTTCCTCCTGTTCTTCCTCTTACTCCTCTACCTCCTTCTCCTCATCAAGGTCAAACTCTAGAAGCTTTAGCCTCAGCCCCTCTTCCCATAGGCACTCTCACAGCGGAGACTCGGAACAAAGGCAAACGTCTCAACGCAACCGCTCAAGAGACAGAAGCAGAACACACCAAGACAGTGACCAGGAGAGTAAAGACGCACAGAAGCCCAGGGGCAGAGACAAAGAGAGAAAAAAGACTGAAAAAATCTCTGCTCATCAACATCCTTATCCACAAGACCAAACCTATCCCCATCCACACCCTGCCGCTTTTTCTGATTATTTGGATTACAATTTGTCCTCCGAGTACTCCCGGTGCACAACCTACCACAGTGGCAATTGTAGTACTGCTACAGATTCATCCTGGACTCAGGGTCCCATTTCTCCCTCCCTTTATCCCAGCGAGTATTCCTACCCACATGACAACTACCATCAGTTTGCTGGTCCTGTGGCGGTACCTAAAACGGTTCACCCTAATCTAAAGCCCCCTAAAGACATTAACTTTCATGTGAATCCAGATCTGTCTTCATGTGAAGGCCAGATTGGACCAACATCTGGCATTCGTTGCCTGCAGGTCATCAGCACCATGCAGTCAACCACTCAGAGACGTTTAAAGCCATTCACTAAACCACAAAAACGGACGAGGAACCATGAGTATTACCAGAGGAAGAGGCGATCATATAGACAAAAAAGGAAACAGAAAAAAAAGAAAGCATTAACAGAACTGAGGGAAAAGGTTGGTAGCTTCCTAGTCTAATCCCATTTAGGTGGTGAATTTTATATTCTGCTCATTTATCTTGTTGTTAGCAGGATATGTCTCAGACAGATTGGATGAAGTCGGGCCATTCAGTGATTTTTAACTCTTTGTGAGCATGTGTGATTGGAAGCAAGTCTGGAAAACATTTTCTTTTCTGAGCAATATGTTTTGATTCAGTTCCATAACAAATACGTTTTTGTTTTTGTTTTTTTGGATGGATTGCCATGAAAATTTGACATACATTTTTCCCAGAGGATGAATGCTAATGACTCTGGTGATCCTCCGACTTCTTCAAGCACACAATGAGGTTCACATTTTAGGTTTTGAGTGTAATGGCTCAACTGAAATTTCATCCACACACTCATGCCCTTGTCTGGATAAATATTAATCACTCTAGTGATGCTTTACCCTTTTATCTAGCACACCATCGCATCCGAATTTCAATTTGTCCAATACTTAAAATACTTTTCAAATACCTGCAAAACTACTTCCCTTCCACCTTGGTTAAACAGGACACAGCATCATAGCATTTAGCTCAAAATATAGCCTGTCTTTGAATTTCATAACTGTAGGCTCGTTTCACCTGCTATTTTAGTCTTGTTCCAATATCATTATAGGTTCTGTGACCACTTTATTAAGTACATCTGTATAATCTAATGTGGTCTTATACAGCAGCTCTGTCACAACATCTATGAGGCTCTTTGTGGTGACACTGTCTAAAATGTGTAAACTAAATATATCTTACTCAGATCCTAGTTAAAGATGGCGTTGTACTGGACTACATTACACTGAGTGGTGAACCTTTTCTCCCTTTATTTACATTCAGGAGAGGGAGCAGAATATAAAAAACACCTCTAAATATAATGCAGTGCAGTACAAAGCCACCACTAACTATTATGTGAATAATAAGCATTTAATTGAAGTAGCACCACTAATATAATCAGCATCCAAAAAAGAAGACTTTATGGCAGTTGTCCTGGATTGCATTAGACTGTACCTTACAAAACAGACACTGTATGCATGTGTATCATCATGGGGCAAATACATGTAAATTCACATGAAATAATCATATCAATGTTCAGTGCAAGAATTGTTGTGCCCTGTGTTCAAATGTCTTTGTAATCAATTTGGACAGCACAGTGCAATCTTTTAATTTGAGTGCTTTCTAATTATGGGTGTTTAGGCCTCTGAAGCAGCGAATCAGTATGAAGCACTTGTGTTGAAAATGGCTTAGTTTCAAAGCGTTTTGCACAGTCAAAGTCAGTCACCTGCTGGCCAAAACACAGATACAGCATTTGTGTAGTTGAAGTAAATGTGAGACCATGAAGAAACACGTGGTGAGAATATAAAAGGCCTTAAAGGATAAGGACAGTCATTTTCTATATTAATAGTATTTTCAGCAGTCCCATACAGAGCCTAAAACCGACAATGAATTGCCTCTACTCAGGGTTAATATCTGTCACATGTCAGTCCTGGATTATTTTGTTAGTCTGTGTGATAGACCTCTGTTGTTCAAAAGTGAAGAGAAACCGGGTGACATATTTCTTGATTAGCAAACACCAGACCTAAACGTGAGGAGCTAGTGGAGCATATACAGAGCTGAGAACTGGCACAAAATCTCTGCATGCACAGATGACTCTTCAGGTTGCAGGGAGACTTTGGGGCAGCATAGTTAGCCCTGGTTTTTTATTATGAAAAAACATGTCACCCAGTGCAGCGTGTTTCCCTGATGTGTTTTTAATTGTTTTTGATCATCAGTGGAGGTGTATGCCACAGACTAATCCAGGAGTGATGCTCTGAGGGACGTTAACCGTGAGTAGGGGCAATTTATTGTCAGTTTTAGTATCTGTATGGAGACTGCTGATAATACCATTAATGACTGTCCTTATCCTTTAATTCTTTTATTTCTGTTAATTTGTTCAGTAAAGCTTGTATTATGAAAATGAATCACTTTAAAACTGACTCTACAAGTTTTGTTTGAAAGTACTGTGGCAGGATGAGAAATGCACAATTTTCAAATCCAGAGTAACACCTCGGCTGATACTTTGGTTCATATTAGTGTGACGTAACAAGCCCTCATTTGGTGTGGTCACGCGATTTTTGGTGAAGCAAGGCATCATTGTGCTGTGATGCTTTTGTTACAAAAGGTCTAAGGTGTCGAGTCATCTGCTTTGAACGTAACATCACTAATTTACATGTGTAATCATAAGTCACTTAAGTCAACTTTTTTTCTTTTTTAGCTTGAAGCAGAAAAGGCGAAAAAAAACAAACGGTCCAACTGCTTAATCACTCTGACTGGTGAAGGTAAGTAAACTTGAGTGAGAATGTTAATGTTCCTGTTTGGGACTATTAGTGTTTTGCAAGTGAACATCAGATGAAATGTTAACCAAAAGGTCTCTGGTATTTGATATTTTACCATTTCCTTAATAATACACACTTATCTTGCCTTGTTTGTAGCTACATTGTTCTCCACTTTAGGGGTAAAAACAAATCCCAACCAACAAAGCCATCAAAGAATATCTTCCTCTTCCCAACTAAAATCATATTGTAGCTATGGAATAACAATGAATTCAAATGTAGATAATGTTTTTACATTTATATATGAATTTGTTGCTGTCGTGGCTAGAGTGTGATACCGACTAAATTAATTCAGACAAACCATCCCAATTTAAAGGATCATTTAATATTACAATTATTCTGAATAGAGTAGTATTTAAACACATAATCTTGTAGTTAGGGAACAGAGAACAGAGACTCTCCTCTTGCAATGGAATAGATAAAGCATAAGAAGATTGTCACCAGTCAGCACCAGTCAGTCAAGCCATTTGATGTCAGTCCCGAGTCGGTTCCCCTGTCAACCCCCAGTCAGTCGTCGTTTCCCCCTGGCCCTCCGAGGCCGGGCTTGTGGTATGCTGTTCACGGTAGCATGGTCATCCTCTCTCCCTCTTCTTCTGCTCTAACCCAGCTTTTTATCTGCTCATACTCACACAGCCGGAGCCATGAAGACGCGGTCCCATGCCAGCTACCCACACACACCTTCTTCCTAGCATTGTCTAAACTGTCCAGTACATGACCTTCTAGGTCACATTGACCTAGCACACATTTCCTTTTTCTAAACCTGAACAGAGCACACGAACAGTTCACATAAGGCTACAGCTACAATATATCCATTCCCTATCTGAGGAGGAAGTCACTCAGGATGTTGACCCCTAGGCTAAACAAGGGACACAGCCCAAGATATTCTTGCCTGCGCCAGAGACGGATCAAGCTTCCGTACACACTGAGCTCAGCCTTACATCCTAACACAAGTATTATCTAAATATGAACTACATACTGTTCTATTACATATTACCTCTGGAATCTGGTTTATTGCTAACCACTACATTACATCATTAAAAAGCCCATGGCATGCTCATTTTGCTTATTTCCAGCCATTAAATGTTTAATCTTGGGTACCTCTAGATTAGCTTTGCACCCTGCATAACGTCAAAGAGTCTGTAATTATTTCAGAATGATAAAACCAGAGAACCTCTTCCTAAAAACAACAGGATAGTTCGTGAACACACACAACTCTTGTTGCCAGTGTAGTGTCGCAAGTGGACAGCACAACAAATTGCGACGGCATTAATTTGAATTTCTCCTCCATAGATAGGTAAATAGCGGTATATGTACTGATGAAAAGAGATGTGTAATACTCTAAACAAAGCAGGTAATTGAGAAACTCGATATTTTAGGCGTAATCTAGACATAGTAACTTCTCTAGCCTTACAAAAATCCTCTCTAATGTTACAGAAACAAGGCATTAACAGACATGCAACATGTTTTTTTTTTGTTTTTTTTTAACTTACCGTTAAGTCCCATACGACCACATACAGTCCCAAAGTAGTGAAATTAATTCCAACAGGTAGTGTAGCACCAACAATAACATCATGGATTATTAATCCGCTTGCTAACCAGAAACGCATCACATGCAGCAGACACACTGGCCTTAACCCAGTCAAAATAAACAGGTACTGTGCTCTGGGGGAATCCAGCGTTGAAGAGCCAACCATTCACTGCCGCAGGGGCTTCACTGGTCAGCTGCTTGTAGGTTAGACCTGGTCAGGTAAAACATTGAGTCCCTGTACAGGAACATTCCCAGACATGCAGTAACCTCAGGCCCTGTATTTTTCTCCACATCCTCTGGTCACAGTGCAGCAGCAGGAGGGAAAATATATCCACCAAATTGTGTGGAGCTGAAAAATTTTGCTTTTTTTCTTGTGTGGTAATCAGTTTTTCTTTTTCCCCACAGACCTGCTTTGAGCCCAGAAAGACCATACTGATCTCCTGTTTAACATTTTTTTCTTTTCACATGTAGTTCATAGTGTAACAGAGACTTCTGATTTTAGTCATATTTTCAGATTTGTACTGAGTACTTCTGAAATGATATCTTCCTCAAAAGAATATTTTTGTGCAGGTAATTTTGTTTTTCATCAAGACAGGTTTTAGCATTTACATTTCTGTGTATGCCGTGACTTTATAACTAACTTTATAACTAACCTTTTTTTTTTTTTCTTGGAACTGTATAAATTGCATTAAGCAAAATATATTTTGTATTATTTGTCTTAATTCGTTGATGAAATGTGTAGTTCATTAAGGGATGAGCCTGAAAACATGGTCAGGTCTTGTTATTTTTTGCATTTCCCCACTAAAGGTTGTTCCTACAGTGACTGAAGTCTTAACAATGAAAGTGTATGCTTGCGCCTCAGAACTTTTTTTCAACATACTCTAGTTTTTTTCCATTTACTAATATCATTAGTCATTTACCTGTATATGACTTATGCTGCTTCCCTGTTCTTACTTAAAGCTGCAGCCAGCTCTGAATTCCCACATCTGACAGTTTATTTCATTAACAAGGTGACTCAAAAACAAACGAAGTGTTGCACTGAGGCTTGAGGAACCTTAAATCCCAAAATTAAACCTGCAAAAGCTGAAATTTGGACAGCTGGACAGTACTGACGTATCATAAAGCTTGAATGTTGAAGTTGATATGCTGAGACTGTTTTACAAACTGGGCCTTATTTGTGCATCCAGGGGGCAGAGCAACATTGACATTCATAGCGATTATAAATCCAATATTTCATCTCTTTTATCTGTGTTTTTGGTCTCCACCACCTCTTGGCCCTTTATGTGTTAAGTGTCCTGCTTTGTTCACAAACTAATCACTAGTTGTGTCCGTGCAATTTGGTGGTGTAGTGTACAGTGGGTTTTTCACTGAAGATGGCCTCCTGAGGCAGAAGACAACTATGAAAGCACAAGAGTGTGAAACTGAAAACAGTAACGTGATGTTGCAGACCAACAGCTAAACAATGAACCAACAGTGTCTGTAAATCTGAGGGTAGCTGCGGATTCAGGTAGCTTCTCTGTAGCTTCTTCACCATGATCGACTCTTTTCACATTGTCAAATACATTGATGGTTACTGTAAAAAATATAGATTATAGCTCCTTGAAAGGAGCTATAATCTATATTTTTAAAGGGCTCTTTAATACTGCAAATTTGGTTCTTTAAAGGTCTACATGCTAGCCTGCTAATATAGCACTGAGCTCAAAGGCAGACAGAGGACAGCTAAACTGACTGGCGAGCTAAGCCTGTCAGTGGAGCTTACTGATGTCAAGTGATCCACCTTTACAGTGGGGCAAATAAGTATTTGATACACTGCCGATTTTTCAAGTTTTCCCACTTACAGAGAATGGACAGATCTGTAATTTTCATCGTAGGTACACCTCAACTGTGAGAGACAGAGTCTACAAAAAAAATTCCAGTAAATCACATTGTTATATTTTTAAATAATTTTTTCCATTTTATTGCATGAAATAAGTATTTGATCGCCTACCAACCAGCAAGAATTCTGGCTTGTATTAATTGCACCTATTTGAACCTGTTACCTGTATAAAAGACACCTGTCCACACTCAATCTATCAGACTCCAACTTCTCCACTATGGGCAAGACCAAAGAGCTGTCTAAGGACACTAGGGACAAAATTGTATATGCATATGTCATGGCTTAAAATCCTGCAGCACACACAAAGTCCCTCTGCTCAAGCCAGCACATGTCCAGGCCCATCTGAAGTTTGCCACAGACCATCTGGATGATCCAGAGGAGGCATGGGAGAAGGTCATGTGGTCAGATGAGACCAAAATAGAGCTTTTTGGTATAAACTCCACTCACCGTGTTTGGAGGAAGAAGAAGGATGAGTACAATCCCAAGAACACCATCCCAACCGTGAAGCATGGGGGTGGAAACATCATGCTTTGGGGGTGCTTTTCTGCAAAGGGGACAGGACGACTGCACCGTATTGAGGAGAGGATGGATGGGGCCATGTATCAGGGAGCTGAAACTCTGTGTTGCCCAGCGACAGCCCCAAAACCTGAAAGATCTGGAGAAGACCTGTATGAAGGAGTGGGCCAAAATCCCTGTTGCAGTGTGTGCAAACCTGGTCAAGAATTACAGGAAACGTCTGACTTCTGTAATTGTAAACAAAGGTTTCGGTACCAAATATTAAGGTCTATTTTTCTATTGTATCAAATACTTATTTCATGCAATAAAATGGAAATAAATTATGTAAAAATCTAACAATGTGATTTAGTGGAGTTTTTTTTGTAGATTCTGTCTCTCACAGTTGAGGTGTACCTACGATGAAAATTACAGATCTGTCCATTCTCTGTAAGTGGGAAAACTGGAAAAATTGGCAGTGTATCAAATACTTATTTGCCCCACTGTAACAATGATGAGGTAAACCTTAAAATCACATCTGTCATTACATGGTTAGCATACAGTTGATAATACTAGCTCAAATTCTTTAAAAAAAAATTTTTAATTGGGTTTGATGCACTTTATGAAAATATAGTTTTTAATTCAGAGCTGTTATAATTCAAAGATCCTTATCAAATAACTAAATGCAAACTAAAGTATATGTTTTGTCTCAAAGTTATGGACCTGATAGTAAAATGTTACTGTTTTATTTGCCAACATAACTGCTGTTTCAAAGTCATCGCTAGCCTGCCAGGAATTCATTTGTCTACCCCCAGATTTCCAAAGCATGATAATAAGAGCATACTTTTTATTTTGTTTCAAAGAATAAATCATAACCTTTTTTTTTTTTTTTATTTTTTGAGCATCAAATGCTCTGCAGTGTTCTGATCTGATAACTACTGAATGCTGTTGTAGTACACCATCAAATGTAACAATTACATTCACATACTGTGTGTGTCAGTTAACATTTATTCATGTGGTAATTAAATTTAACATGACATGGTTGCACACTGGAAGCATGTTGCACAAGAAGGACTCTGCATTATAAAATGTAGTTTTCCAAAATCATATGCCATTGGCAGCTGTATTTGTGCTAATACTAACACTACAGACAGCACAGAGGCTAGAAACAGATTTTTGGTTTGCAACACTATACAACTGGACTTTCAGCAGCAACACACATTTTGTTGCAAAGTAAAATAACAGCTTTGAACAAAACCAGTATAAGACCTGAGTAAATTACTGAAGTAGTCACACAGCAGTCTCTGCAATATAGTAACAGCGCCATCAGATGATGATGATGTTGCTGTATTCGATACGATTTTATAAATAGAGCGTTTTGTGTTTTGATCTTATTTAAAGTTCATCTTTCTCTTCTCCTTGACAGTAGCATGCTGCCCTCTGACTGTTCATGTAGGGTCTGCAGCCCAGAGTCCACACTGTGTTGAACAAGGTATCTGCTACTGTTTCACATGCTGAGGAGAGAAAGTGACAGAGATGTAGGTCAGTACATGGGACAATATTTTAAAATTAAGCTGATATTTGAGAGTATTGCACATGGTAATTCTAACAGGTTTACTTGAAAAAAAGAGGAAAGTGATTGCCTTGAGAAAATTAAGTAAAAGAACTTTGTCAAGTTGTGATTTCACTGCCACTGGTTGCACTGAACAACTATCAGTCACAGCATGTGTTCATCTCTGGCCCCATTCCAACTTTTGGAAAAGCAGTGAAATCATTTAACTGAATTGTGATCCTGAATACATGTTTGTATGCAGACTGCCTCGTTTGTGGGTTAAAGTTCATGGATAACATGGATAAGGTTCATGAAGGACAGCGTGCACACCGAGACAACTGTCTCTGCAACCTCAGCTGACTCTCTGCTCCACATCACTCTGGGCATCAGGGCATTCAGTGGATGTTGCTGTCCAGACCCCTCTCCGCCCCTTCAGAGCTTCCCAGACAGAAACCCCACCCCCACAAGATGCCCACTTAACGACCCATGTGGTGATTTAAAATCTTTTGACTAAGTACTGTGCACACTTCATTGATGACTTGTCTAATCTCAGCTCTTTTAACTGGAGACTTCAGTATTCATATAAACAATCTCAGGGATGACACTTTTGATCTAGTACAGCATATAACTGTCCCGACTCAACACTGCTAAAGAACTTCTGTCTTGACACTTTTGACCTAGTACAGCATATAACTGTCCCGACTCACGCTCAAGGTCATACAGTAGATTTGCTTACCAGTATGGGCCTTACTGCTGTGAATACTAGCTCTGTCTGTTCACCTCTGCATTTTCTTCGAGGTATTAGTTTCCCCACTCATTCAGACGAGATCTCAAATTGTCAAAAAAGGTACCTTAATGAGAATGCCCGTGCTGCATTTACAGAAGCCCTATCCAATTCGTCAATGGTAAAAGTAGGAGGAGTAGATGAAAATCTTGAATATTTTAATTCCAAAACACTCGGGATCATTGATGCAGTATCACCTGTTAAGACTAAGGTTATTTCTGGCAAACAGAAAGTCCCATGCAGAAATGCTGCAACAGAGAGAAGGCAGAAAACCAGAAGGAAGCTGGAGAAAAACTAGCCTTCAGATTCATGATATCTACAAGGAGACGAGACCTCCGAGCTATGCAGAGCTAGGTAGGCTCATCTCTCTAATATAAATGGGCATATTAATAACAATGGTGCATTATTTGCCACAGTTCATAGGCTAACAAATCCCCCATTGTAGCCAACCCCTGTGTTCCTGGTGGGTAAGAAATGTAACGAGTTTGCACAATTTTTCATAAAGAAATAAAATAAAATCAACATATTAGATCCACACAGTTGAGCAGAGACACTATGACCACCTCATCATCTACAAAAACAAAACTAAGTTAACTAACTTAAGTTGTTGTAGAAATCTGCTCCAAAACTTGTCTTAACGTGGAGAAGTGCAGTTGAAGCCTCATGTGGTCCAGACTCACTGAACAGCACTGGCACCAGTGCAGAGATATTAGCTCCTAAAAGGTTTTGGGCAGGGCTGACCTCTAACCAGTCAGAGATGTTGAGTAATTTCTGCTTGATTAGTCAGTCTTGTTGCATTCTCATTTATTGTAATGTCATAATGACAAATATCTGAAGAGTGTGGCAGATCGTAGTAGAGCATAGTGGAGCCAGGAGAGGGAGTGGCGGGTGAAGCAGAGTGGATTGATTTGGAGTTTCATGCTAACACTACCTTAAGTTACCTACTGTAGCTTTAATCAAACTCAAATACACTGAGTTGGTCAGATTTTCTGATTCCAAATTACAAGTAACTTATTTAAAATGAGTGTTGATATCAGGCTTTAAGAACTTGAGTTAGGTGCACTAATAATGTTTAATTAAATCCAATGTTTCCATTGACCAGAAGTGAATTTGAATTTGAACCATAGGAGACCATACCCAATAAACTGAGCCAATATGGTGGTGAAAATAGGAATGTGCTCAGTAAACTTGCATTGGATGAAATACAGTTTGACAGGTTACCAACCTTCAACTTTTGACACAAAGCCAAGGCTCTTCTTGAGGTCAGAGCAAATGCTGTGGAGACACCAGCGGAACTTGGAGTCACAACGGTACTTGTTGGACCCGCAGGTGTCATAACACATATCCAGCTGATTGCAGCACTTGGTCATGGCAGGGATTCCCATGTCCACCTAGCACACAGTAAAGATTGTCAGTGTGTTTGTATACAAGTGGGGAGTTCACTGGTGGCTGGTTTTGCTCATTGCCAAAAATGATTCCAGTTAAATGTAGAATTCTCTGGACATTTAGGGACTGTATGAAAATTATTACAGAGAGGAGGTGGGGTCAGAAATGGCGGAGGGTGTGTACATATTTATTTGCTAAAGGGACATTACTCTTTTTGTTTTAGGCAAGCACTCTGAATGGGGTTATATTTCCCCACCACACACTTTGAAGCTTTTACTGGCACAGGTTTGTCTCCCACATCACTTTTTCATGTCAAAAACTGATCAATTATGTGTCGCTGCATCCAAGGAAACACTGGCTGGTTAGCTAGCTAACAGTGATAAAACACGTTTGTCACTTCCTGATGAGTGTTGTCATAGCCACATGGAACCAGTATTTGAAATTAAGCTTTTTAATTGGACTTTCTTTAATTTATGTGAAGTCACAGCACTAAGAACTTAACTGCCCTGTTTGCTTATTCAGGGTTAGTTCTTCCATAATTCTGGCAATAATTACTCTCAAAATGTGGGATTTCTGATATGATAAAATGATTGCCCAAAAGAAACATTAATAACTCCAGGGAGGGTCTTGCTTTTTCATTGTTGCACAGTCCCCTAGGAATGTAGATTCAGTTATGTCAGTATTGAATATATTTTCAAGTGAATTTGGTCTGAAGAAACAGAAGAAGTATACCCCTTCTGGAACAGGAAGTCCAAAGAAGTAGGAGCTGCATCCATCAGGCTCTGGCATCTGGTAGCCAGGACGAGGAAGAGGAGCTTTACCTGAGAGGGAAAGTACCAAATCAGATGTAGGTCGTGTTTTACAGCAGGCTAGTGGAGCTGTTCTGCGCTCTATTTGATAACCTTGTAGGTTGAAAGTAAATCCATGTTTGCAGATAGAGAAACAAATCTTACTCTTGGTTCATATCCAGTGATGATATTTGACACATTGCCCATTCACTGCATGAAACCTGTTCTGTCATGCTGGGGTCACAGTCCATGTCCTCTCCCAGAGGAAGAATTTACAATATCAGTCTGAGTAAAACCTGCTCTGTATCTTTATGTAGAATTATAAAATAAGTTTAAATTATTGCATTTAAATCCATAAGGGCAATTTCCAGATAAAACCCACTTAAATTTTAGATGTGTTATGAAAACATTAATCATTGAATTTTGTAGTATTTACTGCACTAGTAGCATTAATATATGCCACTAAATTTCTGTCCTGAACAGTGGTGTAACTAATATTTGATTTGTATTTTTAATAATAATGTAGCTAATGTTAACCTTATTGTTTGGTTAAGTCAAGGTGGTATGGCTTTAAAAACA